ACGAATCATTCCTATTGCACCTGTTGGGTGTAGACTTGATGAACAAGGATTCAGTGATCAACCTCTCTCTCCATCTATCTATATTACTTCTTAGAATTTGAACCCTCTCCCATCCTATTATGTGGTTGTGTTAATGCATGCAGTGCAGCCACTGAGCTTTTATTCTCAATTGCTTATTTTCGCGGGAGCAAACATTCTTACCTTAGATAAATTCTTATGTTCCGACAGTCTGACTACTCACGATCTACTAGTTTGACCTGTTTTGGTTGACCACACAGTATTTTGTAAATTATATTATTTTGTCTAAATGGGTCAACAAACATGGTCGTTTAACCTACAGAACTTGTCTCTGAGGGAGTTTGTAGGTTTAAATGCCAGTGTGCTTGATCCGTTTTAGAGAGGGTACATGTCTAATATCTTATATATCTTATTCAACAGGAGAGAATAAACTAATATATGCACAAAGAAGCAGTCGAATCTGACTTTGTCTTTCCGCTTACTGTAGAAGAGTCGATGACTGGAAAACACTACTCTTATCATTGCTACGAAGAAAGGCTTTATCAGTGATACAGCTTTTTCGAATCCACAAGATTTCTCACCGTCTTAACTTGAAAACAGATCGCTAAATACCGTCATCACGGAATGCGATATACATATTATCGTTATATAGTTGACAAATTATTAGTGAGAATATAGATACAAATGAATTATTTAAAAAAAAAACTTAATAATAACCATCCTTCGCTTACTTCTAATTGTGAAGGGAAGCTGTAGAATACACTGTATTTCGTTGAAGACTTATTAGCTAGGTATAAAGATGTCACTTGCGAGAAGTATCTATAGGAACATCATACTAATATCGTAATACCTACATTTCGTCAGTTATGCGCCTATAAAATAAAAAAGAAGTATAGTGAAATGTCTTGCTAACAGAGTGAAGAGGATCTTTTCAGATCATTTCCTGAAGGAATTTTACTTTATTCATGATTCCTTGATGGAGATAGTTTGCCAAGATAATTTCATAAAGAAAATTAAGAACCAGTTAACTAATAAACCGGGGGCGATGACAATACGCAACAACCATCCCTTACTAAACTGAAATTTAATGGTGATTTACCAGGTGAAATTTTTTCGCAGGGACTATTCGGAAGATATTTTGTACGACAAACCATTGTCCATGATTTTCTAGTCGATGAATGATTTTGATCAAAACTGAGTAATAATCCAGGGTTGTTTTCTATGTCCATGTATATTTATCAGTTCACCTGTTTCTTTAGAGGTAGTTATGTTGGACGAACTACTAGGCAGCTTAACCAACACATCACAGAACATCTACAAATGTAGTTGGGTGAGGGACAGGCGATAATCATCCAAAGCTCCCTTTATTCCCATCCTGTTGATAGCGCCCACTCAGTGGATGAATAGAAATTAATCATGATAATTTATCACATCTAGTAGAATCTTTCTAATGTATTCTCTACGGACATTCTAAACTGCATTCAGAAAAAGTTGACATGCATTATCCCTCCATTAGCGAAAAAGGTCTAACTGCATGAATATACTCCTTTGTATATTCTAAATACCCTTCTTACCGTATATGTCAATTATTCCTCTTATTCACCACAGCTATACTACAACTCACTTGACCTACTTCCCTTACAATTCGACATTATGCAAACTTCTAATTTATATCACTTTTCATTACTGTTACCGTGGCCATGACTTTTTTATACTTATTATTTACTTAGGTTATTTATATAAAAGTGAAGCTCGATATAATCTAACAGCCTAAATAAATTATAAGATTTAAGTACAGAAACGTTTTAACATACTTGCAAATTTTACATGTTGTCAGTTGACAGAAAGTTCCGCAACTAGTGAACAGTGCTCAGAAAATTGCGCTTACATAGTTTTTACACAGGCAGTTCAAGTTTAGACAAAATGAATGTATGCATACAGTTGTAAAGGACTTACATAATAAAGACGAGAAATGCGTTAGATGCATAGTGACTAATAAATTAGGTAACAATGTACTGAGTTCAACTCAAATCGTAGAAACAAGAGACAGGCAAAATTACAGATTATAAAAGGGGGTTAGGTTAAAGACAAAGACTACGTAGTCAGGTGAGAGAAAAAAGACATCCAGTTACAAGGGCAAGGAAAGACTGATAACTGCTTCTTTCTGAACACATAAATCTGGTTTCAAGCGTTTGATAGAAATTGCTTCGGCAAACTTGAGGAGAATGGAGGTCCTTTGTCTATTGATAATTCTGGAGGATTTCTCGATTTCTACCTCATGACCCGTATCGAGGAGATGTCTGGTAATAGCGCCACTATAAGAGTTTGTTCCCTTGAGACGTAGGCTTTTCGGCACATGTTCAGACGAACAATTATCAGAAGTTGTTTCATTATTCTTGGTTTTTAGTCGAATCCAGGACTTGCCTTTTGGCCCCCTCGTGACTCGCCAGCTGCATTTGCTAAATGCCCACTGAGTGATGGTATGTCACTGAGACTTAAACCTAGCACTCCTACCTTCAAAACATCGAATCCTTTATTATCTAGGTTACTAAACCATGACAAAGATCTATGGTGCAATAGTGATGACTTGAAATCACTAAATTCATGTTCAAATCAAAGGGTGGTATATAGGCATGCATTCACGGAACCTATATGAAGCTGATCAGTTGAGTCAGGCTACATCAACAAAACTCACAAATATGAATAAACAGTTACAGTAGGATGGATTTCAAATATAGAAAACAGTACCATATTGGTAAGAAGAAGAAAATTAACAAATAACAGAAAATCTGTAAACAAAACTATTAAAGTAACTTTAATGAGTGAAGACGTGATTAATTTGATTTCGGTAAGAATTTGAAAAGTGGTTTTAATATGTAAACCACTTCATAAAATGAGCTACCCTTAATTTTGTGATTTATTTTTCGAAACTTACTGAATTAATCCAAACTTTATTTAATAAAGCACAGTTATATGAGAACGATTAAATCCTTGGATGTGTTGTGTTTCGTTTTGAAACTAATAAAATACACCAAATTTGAATGGAACAGGATACTGCGGATTCATTTTAACTAAGTGGGTTTTTGTCAACTGCTTACAACGTATATCAATGAAAAGGATTAAAGACGATACAATTTTCTGTCATTATTAAGTTCATTTAGATTAGAAAGGAATGATAGGTTACGACTTTCATCAACACTTGCCTCTTTCCCTCGGTGCTGTAGATCAGATAGTCAGCCAGAAGGAATAAGCAACATTGAAACCTCTTCGCTTGCGAACTACCTATCACCCAATAAATACGTAGTAAGACACGAATATCGATTGGATATAAGCTGAGAAGATATTTAGGTGGCACTATTCACATCGCCATGGGTGGAATCTGAATTGTAAGTTAGGCTTCCAAAGGCGATATGGAGGAAATCTTGTGTAAGGGAACTAAAAGCCTGTGGGTAATCGTAAAGGAAGGTGAAAATGACGCCAGAGAAAGGAATGTATTGGAGGCATATCAGTGAGACCGTATGTTCCAGTCGGGACACAACGAATGAATAAATGAATAATAATAATGGTGAAATTCAGTTGTAAGTTATTCTAAACGTCCATGAAAAATGAACCTTTCAAACAGTGAGTGCTACAGGTTGATTTCAACACCGAGAAATTCGATCTTTTCGATGTCTTATTATTATTTGGTGAAATTAGCGTTTGAGTATATAACATTCAGAACTATTAGCAGGTATAATTTATTGCTGTCTACATAAAGTGAACATCAGTTACACATTTCAGTTAAGTTACTCTTACATTCATTTGTAACCTGCTCCCGACAGACTCGACTACTTTGATACCATGACTGCAGTCGAACAAAGTAATGACTCCATTTGTTGCGTAGACTGAAATAAATATTCCTGCCAAAAACGTCAATATAAAAGTAAGACGAGATTTGGAGCTTACACCATGGCAGAGATTTAAAGATCAGGCTGGTGCATAGGGATTCATTAGCGTTAAGGTATTTCCTTTAGACAGTTTAGAAAGCCAGGAATAACGCCTTTCTATTCAAAGAAAGAGGAGTTAGGTAAGATCAACCCGAAAAGTTGTACACGCAGAACTTACCTTTGGTGGTTCACAGGTAGTGTAGCGTAGATATTTCAGATATTCCAGATAGAAGACAAGAGTTAATCTCCGAATTCATATTTTGGTAATGAAAAAATTACTGAATAGATAAATTCTGTATTTAACGTATCAACACTTAAGTGAACATTATTCTTATATCCTATTCAGCCTCACGCCATATTCAATCAGTTGATTAACCCCAGTGAAATGTTAATAGAAGCCAGTGGATAGTATTTTCTTCATCTGGAACGGTTAACACGAGGAGGCTGCTGATGTTTTGGAAACCGCTCAAAGGTAAGTCGAATCAGTTTCATCGCGATAGTTAAGAGTAATTGTGAGCTACGGAAGTAAAAGGATTCAAAAAAGCCTCAAAAATATGCAGTACTTGTCAGTGGTTTAGGCTTATCAGTAAAAAAGAGTCTTAAAAAGGAGATATCAGCAAAAAGAAACTCATTTAAAAATTAATCTTTAGGCAAATTCACAGGAGGCACTACTTAAATATTGAACATAACACTTTAAGCGGCGCTTCAGTTAGTCTACATCTGCACTATAGTAGCCTATTTTCTAAACTCAGCCAGAATGATATGTAGAAGCCGATCTTCTAAACCTACTTCACTCCACGAAGGCTATTTCCAATATAGAAGCGGAACAACTAGATTCGAAGTTTTTACTGCAGATGAATTACTAAATAGACTGACTAAGGCCCTAAGTAATATAGAGGAATATGAGATCATTTAATGAGACGAATGTCGACCACTGGTCATCTTAATTTATAAGAACTGAAAACATTTATTTCCCGATACAAATTTAAAACAAGCAATAAAAGTTAATAAAGCAGGATATAATGAATTCATCAAATTTCGATAGAACCCATCAACTGAATACTCTACATACAGGGATATATATACCATCAGAATGATACTGAGAGATATAAGACTGATAAGCAAATGGATCACATTGAATTTATCATGCAGAAAGACAGGTTCGAATGTTTTCCAGGCCTTATTCAAATAGATAAAGGGAGAGAGTATGAGAGATCAAAATTAAGATAAATTGCATTACGCTTCAATTACATCACTCAGATAAACAATTAGACATAAGGGGATATAACAAGAATTGCAAACAGACTAATATCAATAGTAATAGTTATAATACCAATAATAATAGTAGTGCTGAAGTGAGTTAAGATAATCCTACTGATAAAGGATAGTTTTAAATGAATCAAGAATAATAATAGGTAGAATAATAAGTAAAACGTATTACCATGGTAGATTCAGAGTCACGACCATCTCCTTTTGTACACAGAGACCTGGTTTATAAACTCGAATTACAAGAATTTTCTTGTTTCTTTGTTTGCTGACACTAGTGAGTGACTTGACATCGTCGATATCGTGTCCGTAGTCCACAAGATGTTTTGTTACTGAGGATTTTGACACTTTGCACTCAGCTGTTTCCAACCATTTTGGCAAATGCTCCATCATGCGAGTAGACAATTGCCTTTCCGTACGACCTATATATTTGCTTCCACAAACACACTCAAATTGATATACGCAGTTTGGAGTGTCTATATATATCCGTGGATGTAGAGTATTCAACTGACGAGTTCTACCGAAATTTGATGAATTCACTAAATCCTGCTTCATTAACCTTTGCTGGTTGTTTTAATTTATAAGAATAGGAAAAAATTTCTCTTTGAATACAACAGAATTGTAGGGTCCATCATGAAGCATTGAATAGATGCCACCTGAAAAATTGAAATCAAAAAGAGAACTGGTCAGGTGTCTACTCATTAAGAGATTTTAAAAATATTCACATTATTACCGATATATATATATACTTTCATGATTAATGTGTCGAATCCATTTCACCGCGTAAACCACTCACACCTACACTGACTCTTCAGAAAAAATATCAGATTTAGTGAACACCAAAACTATCTGGATTTGTTAAAATTTGCTGAATTCACGCACAATTACATTAGTCTGTATTAGAAAATGAGTCAGGAGACTTTCATCTAACTAGCCATTTAAATTATGATAACTATCTAAACATGCTGTATTATGGTGATTATAACAATTACCTGTACAATAAAACACTCTTCATAGACAAAGATATATTATGTGTATGTTTGGAGATAAAAAGTTTGCCGAAACAATAACCTAATTCTAATGTCATTTTGTAGACTATATATGCTACAGTTTATTAACATAAAGCTGAAGTTATCGAAAGATTCACATAACAAGGAAAACAAACAAAGTTTTCCAATAAATGCGAAGTTGAAAAGTTAAAAGAGTTTAGGCGGTGTACTTGTCGGAAATTCATATAAAGATTACAGAGGTATTAGACGTGATAACTACTATGCCGTTAAACTGAAGTTATCACAAGACTGGGCTAACAAGTTATCTTATTTTAGAGAGAGGAATTATATACTAGGAAACGTATAACTAACTATTGGATATAAGGACAAAATATCCTCGACAATGCGTCGGAGGCTGACCAGTAGAATGCTTGTCAATCAGGCAGTTGTCTCAGAGTTCGATTCCTGGCCAACGCATTCCTTAACCTCTCCCAGCTTACTAGTCCATAGTAAGTCTGGAAAACAGGGAAGGGGATAAGATTAGTGACTTCACTCCGTAATAAAACAACATGGCTACTAATGCTTCAAGGTCTGAAGCCTGAATCCATACATTCCACTGTGGACTCAAGATAAAAACAACTTGATCAGAAATGAGGTACCTATCGTGTTCGTAATGGTTATAATTACTATCATTGAGAAATCCTTTTAACGTAACTTATATGTCTACAGAAAATATCAGTAATGAGTGTAGTTAACAGAAATCAGGTAAACAGTGTATTAATTATTTCCAATTTTGTGCAGTCTTTGGAATCTGGGTTGAATAGTTCGCCAGTGATTATAGTAGGCGTATTTCACCTCACAGTCTTATTGCAATTAATTAACTTATAAGGGGAAAATTTGGCAAAATAAAATAAGAAAAATTCAGTTTTCCCAAGGGGATTTATATTTCGAGACTGATGGTCTCAAACCGAAACTCGTCCTTAGCAAAACAGGAGTTTTGTGCGAACATCCAAACATAGTACCTTAATTTTTTATTAATCTTGTGAATTGAGGTTTCTGTAGCAGTTTGGCTGATTCTCTGTCCAACCCTTTCTCTTTTCCAGGTCTTGTGGCCGGCTGGAAAACTTGTAACCTAGTAAAGTAGGCGACGCTACAGAATATTAAGTGATCCACTCAAAACAGTAAAAGTCGGGAAGTAATTATGAATGCTGTCGCAACTTTAATCTCATGGTTTAACTCATTTATTTATTGCTATTATCTTATGACAGTTTTGGGTCAAGTGAAGCAGATAACTTAAAACGACAAAAAATAAAGTTTGAAAGCCATGAAGATAGGTTCATCACAGTTGAGTGAAGTGGAGAAACCATGAATTAATTAATCATATCTTGAAAATTTGAGAAATGCCTCAGTCAGAAACAAATACTTCAATATATGTCTGAGTGTTTCAGGATACTAACAATGAAATTAACAATCAAAATTACGTGCTACAATTGACAAACATGTTGATTATCACGTTGTGTAAGAAAAATCAGGTCATTATACAAGGAATAATCTTTTGTGAACTAGGAGAGATCACGATGTTACCAAAATCATTCACTTGAACTACGAATTTTCTTCAATACTGAATAAAATTTAAAAACAGAATTTACGTAACACAAGAGATGCATTATTCTAGTTAGCTGAACATGTAATTCAAGCATCGAAATTCAGGACAGATGATACTGACCAAGAGGATTCGGGACTAGTTGGACCATCTTATCTCGTAACTTGACGGCCCTGGGTTTGATCTCCGGTAGTGTTATGGTTGCGTACATCCCTCAAACTAAGATGAAACAGCTTTCCTTTACTCCGTTATCGCTGGTGATCCTCTCACCGATGTTAGTTTGTCATATAACTTTAAATTTTCTTTTACTTCCAAATAGTCCTCTATCTTCAGTTTCATTCCAATGAAGTTTACTATAAAATAACTTCTTTAGAGACATATAGTGTGTCAGTTAAGAGGAACAAGAAAATGAATATATATGAATATAATGGAGACGATTTGTAGCTCAGGTGGATGATATTGACTTAGTTTTGGTCTCTGAGCTAGTTGATTCAATCGTGAAGCTTACGTCGTCCCCGTTTCTAGAGAACACCTTCAGCGCAGGTTTCAGTATAAAGTGGACTTATTTAAATTCTCCATGAATGATATCATTTTATCTCCTGGCAACCACTATCGTGACTGATTGCTAATTTACGTCTCTATTGATCATTTTTGCTGACTCTGAATTCAGACTTTCTTGTCATTTACCAGCTGATAAAAAAGTAAATCACTTGACAGGAAAGTTCGAATTCCAAGTGGGCAGAAATGACCAATAGAGACGTAAATTAACAACCAGTCACGACAGCTGTCATCAGGAGATATAATTACGTCATTCATGGAAAATTTAAATGAGTCCATTTTATACCAAAACCTGCGCTGGAGATGTTGTCTAGAAGGGAAATGACGAAAGCTTCGCATTTAAATCAACCAGCTCAGAGAACACAACTAATTCAATATATATATATATATATATGCATATATATAATTGCTTTAGTGACATTTCCTTTTTGAAATCTACCACCTCATAAATATAAGAACAGAACTTGAGCACTGTGGTACAGTATAATTCCATTGTGGATAAGATTAATTATGATAAAGTTTCACAGTGTTATACAGTAATGTTTACTGATGACGTTTTGAGCACAATTTATTGCTCATAATCATATCAAGTTATTCACACAACTTTCTAACTTCATTTATATAATTCCTTTCCTTTTTTTCCTCTCTTGACTTGATTGGTAGTAGTATTTTCCATATTTCCGGTATGAGTGACGAATCATTCCTATTGCACCTGTTGAGTGTAGACTAGATGAACAAGGATTCAGTAATAAACCTCTCTCTCTCCATCTACCTATATTACTTCTTAGAATTTTAACCCTCTCCCACCCCATTGTGTGGTTGTATTAATGCATGCAGTGCAGCCACTGAGCTTTTATTCTCAATTGCTTATTTTCGCGGGAGCAAACATTCTTACCTTAGATAAATTCTTGTGTTCCGACAGTCTGACTACTCACGATCTACTAGTTTGACCTGTTTTGGTTGACCACACAGTATTTTGTAAATGATATTATTTTATATGATTGGATCAACAAACACGGTCCTTTAAACTACAAAGCTTGTCTTTGAGTGAGTTTGTAGCTCTAATTCCTGCTTTATTAGGAATCTTCCGTAGGGTCTCAGACGTTCCCTCCTTATATGGTATAACAGTGGATGACTTATATTCTCTCTTATTTATGTTATCATTACTAGTTTCACAATTACTTTTATTTTGCTTTTGGCTTTTCCTGATCTTCCTAATGAATTCCATAAGATAGTTATTTGACACCAACGCTTCTTCTCTTTGTTTTATTATGTCTTGGAATTTTAACCCTCTCCCACCCTATTTAGTAGTTTTGTGTTAATTCATGCAGTGCAATCGGTGAGCATTTTTCTAAGCTAATAATCATCATGGGATCAATCATTGTAACCTTAGCTAAATTCTTATGTTCCGACAATCTGACTACCACAATGGAATTATTACTTCAAAGCTTATTGTGCTTTTTTTGTTATCTGAAGGATATATATTCATGGAATGAACTCCATCGTACCGAAGGTATCTTCAGGCATAGTGAATTTCTTAGATTTTATCATTCCACAAAATATTTTTTCCTCATAATCTATCTTAAAATAATTTCATAATAATATATGCAATAAAAATGTATATTTAAAAAAAAATTGGCTTAAAGATTACTACTATTCATAATTCATTTTTCAGTCTACTGATCAGATGCATCCGCTTTTACTGGTAAATATTGAATTCCTTTATTGTCTACACACGTACATCATACAATAAAGATTATGCAATATGTATTTAAAATGTTTACACACTAAAATCTTACGATAATTTACCAGAGAGAAAGTTATATAAAGAGAATAGATGCTGTCATTATATGATAAGATCTATCAAGCGAGACATTTCGTCTGAACGTAGAACAAAACAAAAACATCACTTGATAGCATCTTAGATATCGGTTTCTTAAAATTCTTATTGATTAATGTAAAAGACACTTATGTCTACCTTGAGCAGTCTTCAACTACTCATCTTATTCATTAGTATACACATAGTGTTATTTAGCCTAAAATTTCCTTAAATGTATATAACTCATATTGAATTCTAAATTATAGCCAGTCAGGAAATGAATGTCTGAAATATTTCCAATGTCCTTGTCGTTCACATGTGACTTATCTGTTCTTCAAAGCATTTTCCTTGTAATATAAGAGTAGATAGACATAATTCGTCCTATTTTTCTTACTTCGACGTCTGATAAACAATATGGTGGTAACCTTGAAAGAAATTTATTTAATCTAATGAAAATATATCGTCTCATCCATCCATTTATGGGATTTTTACCAAATAATAATAATAATAAAAGCTAAAACTGTGGATAGACGACATACTGAATGAAATAATAACGTCTGGATAAGTCGAAAACAACAAGAAAGAGAAAAGCAATTCACAAATTTTGGTTTTATTTTATTTAATAAAAATCCAGGCTGGTGAATGGCAAAATTGCCAATGGGTAAATTAGATTTCTTATTCAATTGGGGAAAGACAGAAGCTATATTCCTATGAAAGCATAAACAGAACTTCGCTTTTAGACATTAGTTAGTTAGTTGGTTACTCAGTGGTAATTATTTTAGATTCTCTGAGGTGTTGAAGCATGATGAGGA